TTTCTTAGTTGTTCAGAGAGGTGTTTTAAGTCTGTCTGTCCAGACTGTGTCCAAGTCAAATAACTCCGGTCACTTTTAAAGGGATGCGGGGAAAACATAATTGGCCGTCCCACCGGCTGTCAGCCAGGACTCACGCTGGAACCAGCTCCTGCTAAAAGGCCGGCTGTAGGACTTAGCTTTTTCATTGGTTCGCTGCGTTAAATTTATTTCGGACTTGTCAGGTCCCAGCTTCTTTACGTTTAATTTTTCCACCATTGTCCTTCTCACGAAAGGAGAACTCAGTAAAGATCTCATTGAATTATGTGAAAGCAGCTCTACAACTGTCGCCGTCGCCGTCATCTCTACGTCACAGCCTGACTGACCAATAGCTACACGTCTATGGCTTTGGGGCGCCAGCTCCAGGCGCCCCAAAGCCAATAATTTCGGCGATGCTGATTGGCCAAATATTTATTAATTTTCCCTAGCAACATTTTTCAATTGGTTATTTCGCTGCACTTCTGGGGCGCTTGAGGCTAGCGCCCCAGAAGAGAAACGATACGTTCTGTGGGTGGAAATGCACTGTTGAATGAGAGTCAGTTGGTGGAAGTGTTGTTTTAATAATTCATATTACATGTAGCCACATATCATTAAGTAAAACTGACATTGATAATACTTTAAAAATAAATATATATATTATAACTTTCCCCCTCCACATCTAGGGGGGGCGGCGCCCGAGCGCCCCCTATGGGCCGGCCGCCACTGATAGATAGATAGATAGATAGATAGATAGATAGATAGATAGATAGATGTATCCGGCTTTAATGGGTGGGGTAGTTTCCCTCCCGGCCGGCAGGCGGCGCCCACACCGCGCGGAGCCGCTACCTTCCGCCACTCGTTGCTCTCCCCACGTGACGATAACCAGCGTGCTGCGAGCACGGGCCGTCTTCTGCCTCCATCTTCCGCCACGGGCTCCACGCGTCTCGCCATGACCGAAAGCGGAGCAGAAAGCGCTCCGGCCAAAGAGCTGCTGGCCTTAAAC